AATAAAGAGACTGGGTTTATTTGTGTGCAGCCATGAACGAGTTGATACGAGGTAGAGGTGTGGGAGTAAGGTAAGTTGTAGAAGACGTGAAGAAAGTGTCATCTGCAGAGAAGAGTAAGAGGAGATAAGAGGCAGGTGATCATCATATAAAGGTTTGTTTGTTTTGTTACTTTTATCCAGGAAAGCAGGTGGTTCTTGACTCTGATAAATTGTCTGTCTGTTTTGGTTAAATTTTATCTAACATCTTGTAGAATCTATAGTAACCTCTTCTGATCAAAGTTCCAGGTTAGTGTTGGATATCGAAAGTCTGTCACTTGGCACCCCCATTCCTCTTACTAGGTTATTCACAAAAGGGAGAATTATCAGGAATTCAAAGTGAATTTCAAATTTAATGCCAAACTGGAAATTAATTTAGAGATTTTTTTTTTAAATTTTAGTGTTTTTTTGGATTTTGAACAATCCAAAATTTAGAAATTCACTTTAGCAAACAACCCTGTTAATATCTTGGCAGGATAAAGTGTCCGTCTGTCTATTTTTCTATCTGTCCATCTGTCTGACTACCTGTCTGTCTGTCTATCTATCTGTCTATCTATCAATCTGTCTGTCTATCGATCTGTCTGTCTGTCTATCTAGTCAGCTGACTAGTTCTGAGCTCTATAAGTATTTTTTTACATGTTTAGAAGTAAGATGTATAGATGTATGTGCTATTAATTATGATGAATCACAGACTATCTTATAAGATGATAAGACTAGAATTTATGTGCAATCAACTTTGTAATGAAACATTCCGAACCTTTGGGATGAGGTAGACAAAGAGAACTGTCAATCACAAGCCCAATTTTAGCCTAGAGCTGTTAAGGATTTAAATTAGTCAGCGTTTTCCATCAGGGGTGTAATCTGCAGAAATCAGCTTACCATGTGCATTTTTTTTTTTTTGTTGACTTCGTTTGATAGGACTCCTGACGATGTTTTATTTTTAGGTTTTAAAATACTTTGCTAATTGACTTTAAAAGTCAAGTTACGTAACTGTAAAAAATTTATTTAAATTGCACAGTTATGCATATCATGCACGTTGCAAGAAAATTAGATTTTTTTTTTTAGGATAGTTGTAATTAGTGTACAATACTGTAAGTTGTTTAGAATCACACTCACAAGTTCATCATCTATCTGAACTATGTTGCACAGTCACAGAGAATCTTTCACTTTCCCCAAATAGATTTTTTAGTAGTCTGTAATTTCTGGCACGGCTAAGAGAGTATGCCAAAAGACCACTACTTAGATATCTCATTAACACTGCCAAACTCTCAATTCCTTTGCACTGAAGGAGCGCTGTGTCACTGTGACAGATTGACATGGATTAGAAATGAATACACTCTGTACTTGAATCAATAAATTTCACCCCTGAAAATGAATACATTTCAGAGGTGAAATGTATTCATTCAAGCCACAACAGGTAGACTCTGCATTTTGAGATTAAAATACATAGTCAATAGAGTCCTTCCTGCATCATAGGGAAACTCTTACAGTCTTTCCTTATTCTTAATAACGTTTGCAGTGAGGAAACACTCTGCGTAGCTGCACATTTATTATTTATATTTCCACATACCCCAACATTGGTGTCCTAAGAAGTGCGACTCCAGTGGAAAGGAGAGGAAGGCAGAGATGTGATTGCATCAATGGTTCCATCCAAAGTGGTGGGCCTGTCCAGAAAGATAGCAGTTTGACCCAATGCACACCAAACTGCCTTCCAATCAAGCAGGCTATTCCATTGAGGGCAGGACTTGCAGGTAACACTGTTTCCATACAGCCAGCAGGGTCCTTTTTGGGGTTGAGCTTCCTGGTGTCCCCATACACGGGACACCAGTGAACAAAGTCAGGACCTCAGGGCAGAATACGGAAAATGAGACTGTCCTGCCATAATCGGGATAGATGGGAGGCATGTATTTCCGTTTGTCTCAGGGACGAAACACCAAGTGTCTGGTAGTGGATATATGGTGAAATATATCCTCATTTATTGAACTCATCCACTTAGGACGCCGGTGGAAAAGTAGCAATAGCTGACCTTTTAGATTGAGTCTTGGAATCAGTTTTTCTATTAATGGAATATTTCCAATTTTGGTTTGACTGCCTTGACAAAAGGATGGTTTGATTTACTAGAAAATTTTTGAATAAGTCTTCCAATTCCATCTTTGAGCATTTTTCTTTATTTTTCCATCTTCTTCTTGTTCCCTCTTTTTTTTCTTCCAGCATTAATTCTGTATTATTTGCTGATATTTGATATCCATCATTGTGTTTTTACAGATATATTCGTAGAGTGAGAACTGTGATATCAACAATGATCCGATTTCTTGAATTTTTTTATTGAACGTATTTGAACATATCCTTTGTTCTAAATAAAGTATAAAAAGTGCAATTATTATAAAAATATTTAATGGGGACAAAATACGCATTATTGAATTTATATTGAAAGTCCCTGCACTGCAACATTTACAGTCTGAGAAAGATGTATTGTTGTTAATATTGAAGAACTAATTAATACCACTTGATGTTTTGTTGCTAAGATGCTAAAAAATTTAGTTTCAAATTATATAATTAAGGTGCTAATTAAATAAATCAGGCTTTCTGTTTTCATTATTGTGTTAATTTAGGTAAATATTGGAAAACCATAAGCAGTCTGACACATCATAGAAATGAGTCAAGCCTTATTTTAGCAGCAATGTGGGATCATTTATTTAGAAAAAGACATTAAAGAGATGAATCAGATGGCAGCATGTATTTGTAAAATTAAGTAAAAGACTTATATGTAATTCATAGTACTTCTTATGACTGTGGTACATTTTATGTGCTCTGTAGAAAACAATCTCGGTAACTTCATAAGGGTTTTACTGTTATTTGATATCTGCCCTTTATCACTCAGTTTGCAGTTTCTGTCTATATAAGATTGTCTGTGTGACTCTGCATGAGTGTGTCTTGAAAGTTTGTTTTATTAGTGGGCAAGCATGTCATGGAAGGGGCAGAGCATAATTATGTAAATGTATCCTTTCTTACTACACTACAGAGGGGATACTGATCTAACCAATCAGTGTCCTATCCCTTGGAATGCTGGAAAAGTGCATAGGGTATAGTGACAGGCCAATCTAGCCTGCCCAATTCTAAATACTTTCTTTAGTCCCTGGCCTTATCTTAAGTCTAATATAGCCTTATGCCTTTCCCATGTATGCTTAAACTCCCTCTACCACTTCAGCTGGAAGGCTATTCCATGCATCCACTACCCTCTTTGTAAAGTAATACTTTTTGAAATTATTTTTAACCTTTGCCCCTCTAATTTAAGACTATGTCATCTTGTTATGGTAGTTTTT